GAACAAAGTGATCATTTCTTTGATGAACTGGGCTCCCAAATGTGTGGGCAATGTGCGAAGCATACTCAGACTAAACTCGGCCACTGTGATGGCCATGGCAATGCTGCTTAGGCCAAAACTGTTGAAGATCATCAGAGCCTTGGTCAAAATGGGCTGGAAAACAGAGCATATTTAATAGTATTACTTAAAATGGAATACCTGTATATATAAACAATTTATGAATGTATCCAAAAACTAACAAAACTCTAGGAAAGGCATTGAAAGAACACATTTACACCAACGTGCTTAGAAACTAAGGTTACGTTATCAAAATAAAATAAGGCACCTTGAAAGTGCTCGCAAGCATATCCTTGGCATTGCCTCCAGTGGCCTTAAAGTACTCGATGAGAGCCGTAAAAGTGCCTAGCAGACTGAGTGTGGTGGCAGCCACTTTGCTTTCGTTGACCTGGCCCAAATCCAGATCCAGGAAGTTCTGCGCCAGCCCCTGGACATATTCGCGCAGCATCCAGAGGCGTCGCGGATAGTCCTGCTGCTGCTCCGGAACACCTTTCCACGGCAGCACCATGTAGCTGACAAGACTGATGTGCACATTGATGCACACCTGGCGTGGCAGTTGAGCACCCAAACGGGAGCCCGCCTGCAGTAGGCTTTGAATTTGTGGTATATCCAGCAGGCACTTGGGCCGTATCACAGTCGAGATGAAGAGCAGCAGCTCGCTGGCCGCCTGCTGCACAATGGGCGAGGCGGCCGAGAGGGATCCGTTGCAGGCAAAAATACTGCCCAGGATGGCAAACAGTCGGTGCAGCAGCTCCTCGCCGCTCATGGCCTTCGTTAGCGGAAAGATGCTGCGGATGGCCAGTAGAACTTGAGCGTATCTGCAGGATCAAAAATAGGAAAAAAAAATATAAGTAATCAGTCAAACAAAAGAGGTTTATCCTCCACTCACAGGTTATCCAAATCAGTCTGGAACGTGGCCTTATCCATTTCGCTGCCGCCGCTACCCAAACGATTGCTTGCGAGGAGCTGCAGCGTCTGCAGCAGGCTGTCGGACAGCATCTGCAGTTGGCACTCCATCTCATCAGCCACCCCGGGCGCAGCTGACGAGGTGTCCATCAGCGGGGCCAGTCGCACCACCGCCTGGCAGACGGTGGCAAAGTCACGCAGAATCTCGCCCACATTGGCGCCCTTCAGTTTTCGTGCCGCTTCATAGCTGCGCGCACTTCCGTGATCCAAAGCGTGCTCCAGCGACAGCAGATACATCTGCGGTCTTGACCAGTGGTTATAGACTTGTGCGAAGACGATGTGGGCACCTCGGGTGTTTGCCAGAAGGGCGAGGGACTCGAAGCATTGGTCCAGGAACTGCTGCCACTCGGTGGCGGAGGCCTAAAATTAATTAAATATTTAAAGCTGGTCAATTTTCTGGAAGATTTGTGTGCTTTTCTCTTATTTTGCCTATCCCTAACTAGAAAAGTAAGAGATGATATTATATGATTACCAATTACTAGAAAATCGATCGGTTAAGAGGAATATATCTATATATTGAAAATATTCGAAGCCAATTCATTAAAATTCTTTTTGCATATGCCACCGAAAACTGTGAGTCAATCCAAGCTAAAAATGTACAGAAATAAAAAATTAACACTGAACGCTAACCATCTTGGGCGTACAACTTTCTCTATTTCCACACACACAAAGACCTCCGATCGCTCCAAACAAGGCCGCAAAACTCAGAGCCACTTACATCGTCCTCCATAAGCTCGTTGTCCAGCACCTCCAGTTCGGGTCGGTTGGCCTCGAATTGAGTGCGCCGCATGATCTCATCCACCAGCTGGGTGAGCACATTGTTGAAGCGCGTGATTTTGGCGGGCTGTTGGGCGATGCCTTTGATTATTGGCGTCCAGATCTCCAACTTTTCGGTAAAGTCCAAAGCGCCGTGCACTATTTAGAAAATAGTAACATTAATAATGGGTTGTTATATGTGGTTCTTTCGTATCTTTCTGACACAGAAAACTCTTTAAACCAATATTTAAAATTACAGTATTGGCAGTTGTACAATTGATTACTGTAAAACTTGAAAATCCTTTAAATGCATAATGGGAAAAATCAATTTAACAGGTTTAAAAAAGTAAGTTGCCAGGATACTACAAAAGTTTCCCAAAGGATTTCTGTGACGAGTCACTACAAAAGGACAATACTTGTACCATGCGACTCACATTCAGTGGTGCAGCCATATAGCAGATTCAGGAAGGTCTCCAGCAGCTCCGGCTCCTGCATCAGCTTTCCGGCATACTTGGTGGTATAGAGGCGCAGCAGTTCCCGAAACTTATCGCTGTACATCTCGCTCTGCCGCCGATTGCTATTATGCTGTTCCAGGAGGCTGCTAACGCCACCCATCAAAGTGCCCGCAAAGGGCAAAGGCTTCTGCAGGTAGAGGAGCTCATTCAGCACAGAGAGAGCCGCCAGGGAAATGGGTTCGTGAGCGGGTCGCCACTGGGATAGGTCGAGTATGCTCATGAGGAAGTACTCCGAGATCAGTTCAGTGCGTATCCAGGAGACCAAGTGCTGCACACAGCCGAGCAGCTCCAAAATAGAGGAACTGTGGGGACAAAAACACATTGAGTTTCAGATGGAATTCGTAATGGACATGCTTTCGTATAATTGATGATGACCCACCTTAATTGATTGTCATTTGGCAGCGCTGAGGTTAGACTAAAGTCCATGAGGGTGTTTGGTATGGTCGTTTGGATGTCTTTGCCATTGATGTGGCACACAGCGATTAGTAGATACTTGGTCACCAGGTCCAGGACATCGGGTATACACATGGAGATGCTACAGAAACACACGTCACATGGGAACACAAAGCGGGAAAGGATTAGGACCAGTGCTGTGACAAGGACTTCACTGTTTAGTTCGATTTGCAGTATCCGATAGAGGTCAGTAAATCTTAATGTAAGTATGTGCAAGTGTAAATCAATTAGTAGTAATACAAAAATAAAAGGAATTCTATTTAGCCAAGTCATCCTTAAACGCATCCTATTAAATTAAACAAAGAAAGAGGCCTGTTAGTTAAACCTCTGTAATTAAACCAAAATTAAAAACTTAGCAGCCTTTAATTGTTAAGCCATATCTCAATTCAAAAAGTTCCTACCGGCAAAGCAAAAATCTGCATCACCATTCTAATAAAAGTGATTTTAAAAGAATTTTTGCAGTTGTTTGGCAGACTTTTTGGTAAGTATTTTAGTTGTGCAATTTATCAATTAACATTAAGGAGATAATCTGCCTTTAACTAAACACTACAAATAATAATTATATTAATTCTTTAATTAAATACCTAACTAACGTAACCGATAAGGAATCGACAATTTATATAGAAGAAAATATAAATAAAGAGTAAAAATAAAAAACCAACAATTTAAAACAAATTCATATGAAAGTTAAGAGCTAAGTCTAGAAAAACGGTTACATTTACATAAAATAGACTCAAGCACGGGTAATTGGAAATAAAAGAAAGAATAAAAATACATAATTTGGAGTGTTAAGACATGTGTTAACCACTGATAAGAACTACTGCACCAAAAACTAACCAAAATTAAAATTTCTGATAAGGAAAACCAAGCACAACTCTTTCAGAAAGATAACAATAGAACCAAAAGAACAAAGATGAAAGTGTAAAACATCAAAAGGTCATGAGATTGGTTAGTCCCTGGCATTCTACGCACCAGGAGTAGAAGTACTGCTTCCATTCGGTGGTCAGATCGCCCCTGTTGCTCACCACCTCCTCGGAGGTAATCCTCAGCAGGTTGATGCCCAGCTGGAAGCGGGTTTTCGTTAGCTCCATGCAGTGTTGCATGTAGTTGGGGTCCTGTTCGGGGAACTCCCTCTTCCCAAGAAGAGCTATCAACTGGGCCAGCGTATCCCTGTGTCGTTTGGCTGCATTGGGCGTGCTCCCCAGTTGGGCATACGAGTTCCATAGGGCTTCCCGCAGTAAAGTCTTGTCCGTGGACGTCAACTGCGTCCATCTCCGTGTGATTGTGTGCTCTAAAGTGGAGGTGCTAAAGAACCAGAGGAACTGATTCTCGTTGATATCGGATGCGGTGGCCACACGGAGGCAAAGTTGCCACGCCTCCGGTTGCGATTTGAAGGCCAGCAGATTCGTCTCAATCTCTCGCTTCCGGGCATTGGAGGTACTGGGTTGATAGAACTCCTGCAGCAGACCTTCTACCGTCGTCATGGATGCGGCATGCTATATGGAAAGAGGGTGAATACCATCCCCAGTTAAGTGAATCACTCAAAGAAAAGTGGGTTTGGCCAGGAGCACCGCACCGCACCACACCACACACCATCTTCCCTGTCCTGTGCGATCCTGTGTTCCTGTGATCTGGATGTGGGGGTCACTGTGTGCTCCGCTTGCCCGCGGTTCTGGTTTCACTCGCATCAGCACTTGGCGTCCAGCATTAATTTCATGGTTCTGTTCTTTGTGTTGTGTCTACACGAAAGGTGGCCAAAAAAATCGTACACTGCAAAACTCTGATACAAGATGACATGGCATGGCAACCCTGGCCAGGAACGCCATTAGCCAGCACTGGTTGGCTACCTACCGATATTCATCGTCAAAGTCATCGGTTTTTGGTTTCTTTGAATTTGCGTGTTTTTATTCATGAAAGTTATAAAAAGCGACCTAATAATGTTAGGTAATTTGTGTGGACAATCCATAAACTAAGTTATATACCTTATACATACTTTATTAAATGTACGGTAAGATTGTAAAATAAGACTTTTTTTTTTGCAACTTTTCCGTTGAAAAGCCTTTACAATGTTATTTTTATTTTCTGAGTACACTTCAGGTTTGTATTATGTGCAATTTTTTGGGTTTTAATAATTTCTCTGTGGTCTACATATGCCATTTTATCCCGATGTAAGGAATTCATCTTGTCTCAGTAATCGCTTAAAAAACGTCAAGGCAAAGTAGCTTCATCAGTTGTCAAACCTAAATTGAACTTTGCAAGGCACACACCAAATAACACCGAAATTATTTTCTATTTTTCCACATATTTTTTTAACGATTTTTATATTGGAGGTTGCCTTTTTCCCTGCACTTTCTATAAAGGGTAAGACAACTCTTTTTGGGCTATAATAACTTGCCCATTACTAAGTGCCATTTTTGCCAATTAACATTGCAGATTGTTGCAGTCACTGCCGAAGAATCTCAGTATTACCAGGATCATGCCACGTGGCAAGTACGTAAATCACAAGGGTCGCAGTCGCCAGTTCACGCCAGCGGATGAACTGCAGCGGGAAAGGATCCGCCAGGACAAGGACGGGCAGGCTCCTCCCAATGGTCAGGTGAAGGAGGACTGGAAACTGGGTAGGAAGAACGACTTCGATCGTGGCCACGGTGTCCACAGCCTGATTGAGATCTCCAATCCGAATCGCTTGCCGCGGGAGAAGCCTTTGAGTCTCTTCATAACCATGTCCGCTCAGGAACAACTTTTGCAGGTGGATGATGCCACCCAAAGGCGGCGCCTTGAAAGGAAACGGGAGCGGATTCAAAGCGAGAACATCCAGAGGAGCAAGGAGGCAAAGGCGGACCTGGCCAGATTGGCATTGGTGCGCCAGGAACGGGAAGCGGCCGCCGAGCGTCGATTGGCCGCCAAGAAAGCAGCCGCCGAAGCTGCCGCCTCCGGTTCGGAAACTTCCCTCAAGAAGATCAGCCCGAAACCACCAGTCCTGGATGGCGACTCGCCACTGGAGGTCCTGGAATTCATCGGCCCCACGGGTTATCAAGGCAAGGCCCGCTCTGGCCGCAAAAAGTAAACAAAACAAAAGTACAAGCATTCAACCCAAAAATTTTACCTTAAGAACACACTAGAATTTTCTAGAAAAACACCCCAGCCACAATGAGACCAGAAATAACTTGTCAAAACGCTTTTACTAAAAACCCATTTAGAAACTGGGTTCACAATCTAACAAAATTCGGAAGACGAACCCTTAAAATTGAAAACACCCAGACTAAAACCCCAAATTAAATCAAAACTCAAAATCCTAATCAAGCTGGCATTGAAAAATACTTAGCATCAAGTCACAGTCGAGCAGTAACCAATGGTTTTGGAAGTCATTTTATTTCGATTTCATATACATGTTGGTTCTCTCGATATTTTCTAATAAAAAAAACAAAAAGTAAAAAGCTTAGCTACTGACTTATTCCTAAATTTTTTTGTATAACAAATTTCTGTTTCCCACATGAACATAGAGCTAAGCCACTTATCTACATTAAAATATCTTTGAAATACATTTGCACCCTCATAGTAAAAAACAAAGTTAAGCAATCAATACAAAAAGTCGCAATTAGCCGGTAAGTTCGAATCAGCAATTGGAATTTATTTTCCAATTTGAATCACGTTGACCAACACATAGGCCTGTGACCACTTGCAGCACTTCTTACACGTACTTTCCAACACTTCTACCGGCAACAAGTTAAGCAAAAACGGAATAAAAAACATATTAGTTATAATTCAGGATAGCATCGAGGAAATCGGGAAAGGCAGTCGTTATTATCCGATTATCCGAGTCCCGAAATATGGAAAACATGGTCCAAACAAAAGCATTGAAACGATCGCGATCGGCAGACGACGACGACACCAACAATAATCTGACACAGAGGAAGATCTGGGTAAACCAAAGAATGAGCGATGCTCGCGATCCTCAGAAAATGAAGCAGGTTCACGGTATGTACATATAGCGATCTCCAGATTTCAATATACATATGTGCCACAATATCTTGGAACAACCCCTAATTTTTCCCAGTTTAAAGCTTCGGTTTGTAGCGCCCATGGGTATAGGTAATGAGGTTTATGGGGGTGTTAATATCTCTTGATGAACTGTAAATAGAAAAGTCAAATCCCGATTTAATATACATCATTTACATAGAACTACCAATTTTGTATCCCCCATTTGACCAAAATAAAGCCACGATAACCAATTTTAAATTCTATTAGCTAATTTCAATATATTTTAATACAAAACATATTCGATTTTTTACCTTACCTTGGTACTTAGTTTAGCATAAACGTTTACCGTTACCTTTCCCAACACTAATATGCAATTGGAAGTGTTTAACCGTTAAACAGTTCAAAATGCCTAGATAGTTTAGTAAATAAAAATTCACCTAGAAGGCCAAGTAAAATTTGTTAAATTTGAAGTAGGTAGGAATTGAAGGCAATAGTCGATCACATTCAGTACTCTCAAAATTGTTAGATATTAAACGACTAAATATTTTGAGCTCGACAAAAAAAGTAAGCATAACATTTTTCTTAATTTTTTTTTTACATTTTATAGAATCTAAAGCTTAAGAACCTTAGTAAAGCTTTTTACCTTGGAGTAATTATATTTTTTCATATAATAACTTGCATTTATCTTTAGAACCTTAATTAGTAAGGATTTATACTTAATTCCGCAGAGAAAACAACAAAGATGCTTTTCGACGGGGCAGCCACCAGTGGACAAGGACAGGGCCAGGGTCAGACCACCTCGAACGGACTGGGTCAAGGTCAGCAGCAGCCCGCCCTCTCTGAGCAGTACCAGCTGCTGGGCGATGGAACCATTCTGCTGCGAAACCTTCGAGCCGACATGGCCAATCCGCGCCTGGAGCGCCAGAAGTCCCGCTGCTGCCAGCGCCAAACCCTCATCCACGACATTTGTGTCAACTGCAGCATGGATCTGTGCGAGGAGTGTGGTTATTCCTGCGGCGAGTGCTCGCAATTTATATGCCGCAGTTGCGTTACCTTGTTGTAAGTTTCCAACTAGATTTTAAGCCAATCATTTCCTGAACTAACGAATTTCCTTTCACTCTAACATTATAATTAAGTTATCTTTTGAAAACCTCAAGAATTGAACAGATTTTAATTAGTGTTCAGTTAAGTTAGCTTATATGTAAATAATTCCTTTTCTCTGGCATTAATAATACAATAGCCACAGTAAAAAAAAAAAACTATTGTTTCATAATCCAGAAATACATATAAAATACCGCTTCTAAGGTAGTTTATTTTTATTTCCTGGATTGTTTAATAAAATAATTGCACCTTTTCATTTCTTGAAGCTGCCCAAATTGTTTTCAGTAGAATCGCAAAATGTATTTTAATATTAATACATTTTGGTAAACAATTATGCATAAAAATAATCTATTTATTGCATCAAAGTATAGAACGTGTATATTTCTGATCATTTAAGTAAACCCCTGCCCAATCTTATTTCATTTCCAGTGGCAATCGTCCCGATGAAGCCGACGATCCGCTGTGCGATCGCTGCCAGATGTTTTTCGCCTAGGGCTTTTCAAAGATCGGGCCACCAAGTTAACTCCAGCCATTTTCACATGCAGTCAAACACAGAGGGAATCATAGTGTTCGTTAAATTTTAAGTTCTGAATCAGTACAAATTAGGCACGACTCCGAAGAGTATATAGAGGCACCTTTTTTATATATATATATATATTTTGAGGACAGGAGAATTAGCACAAAGATAGATAAAAGAGAAAAGAGAACTGTTGGTGGCTTGGTGTTTCTTTGGCTACACCTTGCCCCTGAACTTGTGGTACTTCTCGTGCTCCTTTACCAATCCCTCGTACATCCTGGCGCCCGCTTCGCTGCTGGAGCGCAGGATAAAATGTCCGGCGCGGTGATCGCAAATTCCGATCAGCTCGTGGCACACGCGCACTATGTGGACCTTGACCTGGAGAAAAAACGCAGGATTAGTTTAAATAAGCAAAAGCCCTTGATAATTGTACTAAATGGATGTGTAAAGTGAATAAAAACATGTCAAATGTATTTCTACAAAAGATATTTTCTATGCTTTTCTTGTGATTATAGGCAAAACAATTAAAATTATATGACGCACCTTTTCAAACAGCGTGGTGGGCCTTTCCGTGGACACCATCTGACGGATGGTGAAGATGAGCAGGAAGGGCGCCACTCGCTTCACGGCCAGCGCCTGAGTGGTGGCCACTGTGGCCATCACAGTGGCCAACTTCAGACCCAAATCCGCAAGTCCATCCAACTCCGTTTCGGTAATGTCCGTTGTCTGCTTTCGCTCCGCTCGAAAGCCAACGATGGCCTGGACAAGATCCTGGCACAAAGCACTTAGCTGGGCAGCACGATCGGACATCAAGTTGCTGTGCTGCTTTAACAGCACCACCAGATTATCTGTAAGTGCTCCGTAAAGATCCACAAAGTCCTGCCAACTACCGCCGTGGCTAATCAAGTGCTTGATGTCCACATCCAACATGCTGCCGAGCAGGCAATCCAGGGTCTCTCCTGTGAGAGGAACCGTGCGATTTCCGGCCAGATTGCGCTGAGCCTCCAGCAGGCGGAGCGCATGACCACGATATGCCGAGTCCTTGCGTTCCGGCAGACGCAGTGCCACACCCACGCTGATCAGCTCGAAATGCTCGTTGAGCATCTAAGGAGGAGGGTATTATTAACTAGAAAAGAGGATAATAAGTGAACAAAAAACACTAACCGCTCCCTTGACGCTGCTAAGTGAGCATTTGGAAAAGAGGGCGAGCAGGGTGAGCACATTCTGGAGCGCAGTGTGCTGGGCAGGCGACTCAGGACGTGGCATCTCCTCCACTTGGGAGGAAAGACGACGCAGGAGCAGCAGGAAATCCTCGTTGGTCTTGTAGCCAATGATTAGCTTGATGGCGGGTTCCAAACAATCCAACGCCGAGCCTGAGATGTCCCCCTTCTCAATATCCGTATTCAATTGCCGCCAATAGCTGCTCAACACGAACTCGATCTCATCGGGATCCAAATGCAAACGCTGGCGATGGGTGAGGGCAACATTCAGCAGGCGGATGGCATGGGCATTGCGATAGTTTAGCTGGTAAAGATTGACCGATTAGATTTCATTTCATTTATATTTTATCATAAAAATAAACCCACCGAGTGACCAATGTAGATCTTACAGATGCGTCTGAAGTTATCATCAATGGCCTGCTGCTCCTTCACCTCTTCCTTATCCTCCTCCTTCTTTTTATCCTTCTTCTTCTTCTTCTTTTTATCTTGTTCCTGCTGCTCCTCCGATTCCTCCTGCTTCTCCTGCTCCTTCTTCTTGTTCTGCTGCTCACTTTCTCGTTCCTGCCTGGCCACCCGATTGATGCAGCTGCTCACATAGGTTGCATATCCCGCCAGAGTGTTATCCACGAACTCCTTGTACAAGGAAGCCTCCTTCTTCTTGGACCGAAACTTGTAGGCCACCATCTCGCCATAGATCTCGAGAAGTGGCTGCAGTTGGCGTTGCAGCCGCCTGCCCTGGGCACCAGTCACACTGGACAACGTTTCGATGGCCAGCAGCAAGAGACGACACTGCTCCGTTTGCAGCTTGTTGGTGGCCGCCAGTTGGTCCTTAAGGTACTCCGTGCAGCTGGCAAGAAATGCCTCACTGCCGGCACTCTGGCGACGAATGCAGCGGGCAAAAAGTGATTCGTAGAAGCTCCAACCCGCCGTGGTGCTTGTGGGAATAAGGTTAAGCAGTTCGCTAAGCTGCGGAAAGTAACTGCAGATGGGAAGCGGATGACCGAAGTGCATAAGATCTGTATAGGGAAAAATATTACTGAAAGTGAATGAAATATGATTTATTACCAGGAACTTACCTATCAATAGTTCCAGTACTTGGTTAGCCTCATCCACCAGCTGGCTCTGACTGAGATCCCTGTAGAAGACAAAGATCACCAACCAGAGGCGAGAGCGAATAGAACTTGCCAACTGAGTCAGTGGCAAGCGCAGCAGTGACTGCACTAGCTCCTGGGCCGAAGGCAGCTGAAGCTCCTTGTCAGTAGAGGCCTTCTCTCTTAGGAAACTTACCAGGGCGGCCTCCTCTACTTGCTCCTCCAGCTTCAGTTTGACCAACAGCGAGCCCTTGGCCTTGGCTTCCTTGGCTGTGGCTGCATATTCCCTTAACAGCTGCAGAGCAAGCAGTTCGACGCACTCCGAATCCTCCAGGTGGGAGTCCAAGTCCTGGTCCTGCCTCCTTTGATGCAAACGAAGCTGTTTTTGTGGTCTGGATAGGCGGAAGAGTTGTTGGGGTGCCACCAACTCTGCCAAGGCATCGGAGCAGTTGGCTCCTCTTTTATCCTGCAGCAGCCAACCACTCTCTGCCAACTGCAGTTCCAAACGCTGCAACCGCTGGCGGCAGGAGCTTTTCCCAAAGTTGTGCACCCTTTGTTGGATCAGTGTCCACTCGGCGGTGGGCAGAAAACCCCTCAGCTGCAGGGGCCTTTGGCTGGCGGGGAAACCATCTGGCCAATAGTGAGTTAGGAGTAGCTCAAAGCCACTGGCACGTTCCGTGCACTCCAGGAAGGCGTTCATCAGACGGCGATTGTGCTCTTGATTTAGCAAACGTCGTCCAAACATCTCCAGCACCTGAGAAGTGTGCTGCAGTTGCTGCTCCACTTCCACCTGCTGGAGATGCACTTGCTCCGCTAGCCGAGTGCCATTTAAATACTGACACAGCAGCGCAGCATGCAGTTCACGAGCAAAGTCCAGATTCTCGGCCAACACTCCCTGAGGCTGATCCTTTTCCAGAAGTTCCACGAAGGAAAACAACAAGGTCTTCCAAATCACCAGCGAGGGCTTGGTCATCAGGTTGCTGACCAAGCGAGTGAAGGCCACACCGGCGGAATGACTTGGCCAGGTTTGGGTAAGCTGCTTAAAAGCATCATTGGCCGACGGAACTGTAGTTGAAGAGGTGCCCTTGAAGATTAAACTTAAAAAGCGCTTCTCAGTTTGCTGCTCCTCATTGTCTACAGTTTCATTATCTTGGAGACGCCGCTTCTTGGCATCTTTATGAGGGACATCTAGCGCAAACTTTCCCAGCCACTCTTTAAGGGCCTTTAGCAGATTCATGATGAACCGTTCCGCTCGATTCAAGCGACGGAACATGTCCAGCAGAAGGATCAGATACTCCGAGTACAACTGCTCCTCTTCGGGATTCTCTTTGGGTGCCGTCAACAGCCAAACGGTGATCTGGTAGACACTCTGTTCAAGCAGCAGAGGATTCAAACGCAACGCCGAGCAGAGTAGTATCAAAACTTCTTTCAGATGAGTCTTTTTGTACTGGCGCACCAAAAGGGGCAGCTGCTCAGAAACGAAGGCAAATCCGGTGCTAGATGGTTGGTCCATTTCAAACTGCAGGGATATATCGTACTTGCGCAGTGACATTAACAAATAGGAAGCCAAGGGAAGCGATAACTCCGACTCCTGGCTTATTTTAAAGACCGCATTCACGATTATCTTTAGGTTTTCCGTTTGGTACCGATTGTTAAGGATAGCAGCCTCCAAAAGCAACAGTTTTACATGAAGCGGCTGTTTAGCAATACGTTCGGGGGTGAACTCTGCCTTAAGTTGTTTTTCCAGTTCGGCGAATTCCTCCAAGCACGGGGATTTCAGGCTGAGTAGGAGCTCAACCAAAGGCCACACAGTATTCAAATCGTAAAACTCAAGCATCAATTCTGGCTTTTGAGAGCGACGGGCAATCTCGGCTAGCTGCTTGATCACCGGCACCACGAACTCCACATCCCAGTGCTCCTGATCCTGATTCGTGTTCTCCTTGCGGAGCTCCACGCATGTTTGGTGGCACTTGAACAGGCTGCCATAGCACTCGGTTAAAAACTCGTTTTTTGAACGCAGGGCATCCTGGAGCAGCTCAAAGTTGAGCACCATGGGCAGGAGTTCCAATGCCGATTCATTCGCATTCTCAACCTTGGAGACAATCTTCACCAGAGTTTGGATGAGCTGGAATTTAATCTTCTGAGTGACCCATCCAGGTTGTGCCCTTAACTTTAGGAAATCCCTAAGCTGCTGCGTGGGGAGAGTCTCGCAGCTGCCCAAGGATTCATTAAGCCATTGGGTGATGATCTCGTACTTGTTGGGATAGGGGAACTCCACGGATTGCCAGACTTTCAGGGCGAATTCAACACGTGCCGGGTACGGTTTGCTCTTCTCCTCCAGCCAGGACCTCAGCTCTGCAGGTGAACACACGGGGTTTTACTGTACTGGACACTTCTGGGGCTCTGCCTCTCACTTACCTTCGCCTGTGTCCATGTTCGCCTCGTCCAGGTGATTTTTAAATGCAAAACACCAAGTTCGAATGCCGCACGTGTACCGATCAGCTTGGCATTAGTGATGAGTACGTGTCTGCTGTTTCCCAACCAAATCTGACTTTTTTGATAGTGAAGAGAAAATATATATATTAAATTCGATTTTCATTAATATGAATCATAGTTACGACAAGTATTTATATAGTTTACAACCAACCCTCTTTTTTAAAGGTTTTTGCAACTGTCGATTTGATAATACAAGAGCCACACATGTATAAATAACTAAGTCGCAAGCTGCTTCACTAAATAAACGTTATAGTTTGTAATACTTTTTAATTTTATTGACAAAGAAATGTTTGAATAAAGCTTACAATCAATTTAATATTTCATCAAAACTAGCTGGTAAGACCAAAAAAGGTGGCTTTTTTTAATCAGCTCGAACTTCAGCCGTTTTCAAGCTATATTTACAAAAGCCGTTCACCAACACTGCCGGATCAGCTGACCAGCTGATCGTCCCCACCATTTGATTCGTTTTGTTGTTCTTTGACCATTTCGAACTCATTTCAAAATCTCTCCTGGTATTTTGTATCCGTTTTGCTGAATGAGACAGGAATCACAATGTTGTTAAACTGCACGAGGCTGACACACGGCTGCACGACTCTCCGGGTCACGCAAATCAGCCGAATCAGGACGCCAGCAACGTCGCTGCACCAGGCATCATCATCATCATATAACCACCACCTGGGCAGGTGCCTTCACCGACGCGCAAGGACACTCCCACGCTCGCCAGCTACCCACCCACCTATAAAACAACAGAACCACCTGCTCCAAACTCTACGCATGCCGTGGTGGTGCATGCGACGTGGTTTGTCCCAGAGCAGCAAATGGTTGGCCAGGAATGCCAAGACTAGTGCCCCACCTCCAGTTGGAGCCGGAATCGTGCCCGTTCCCCTGAAAATGGGCAGATCCCAGTACGGCCGCCTGCTTAGCCTGACCAAATCGGAAAAATGGGTGCTGACAGGTTATTATTGCTAGTTCCTCTGTGGTTCTCCTAATCCCTAGCTCATTTCTGAATTCCCAGCGGGAATTTGCTGCCTGGTGGTCTCCTCGGCTATCACGATGTCGGTTCCCTTGTTCCTCGGCAAGGTCATTGATGTGGTCTTCAATAAATCGGGCATGGATAGCGCTGCCATGGCCAAACTAAGCGAGTACTCGCTAATGCTCTTCGGGATATTCGTGTTGGGCGGTTTCGCCAACTTCGCCCGTGTCCATCTGTTCGGCAATGCGGGTGAGTAGGAAACAGGGAAGTAAAAATCGATCAAGAGTTTGCAAAGGTGTCGTTGTGTGGGAAAACTTGGCTCATGTATGGTCTTTAAGTTTAATGAAAAAATATTAATATTTATTATATAAATGCTTTAAATGTAAGGTGGTTTTTATATCTATACTATATAAACATCAGTATTAGGTCTTTAAACTATCTGAATGGATCTGGCTCCTTTTTCAGCTCTTCGCATGGTGCGCAATCTAAGATCCCGCCTGTATAGTTCCATGCTGATGCAGGAGGTAGGTTGGTTCGATACCAAGGGCAGCGGTGAACTGATCAACCGACTGAGCAACGACACCTACTTGGTGGGCATCTCGCTAAGCCAGAACGTCTCCGATGGCCTGCGATCTTTGGCCATGATTGGCGTCGGCACGGGAATGATGGTAGGTGCACACAACAAATTGACATAAAATACCGATAAATGTGTTTGGGACCAAACGCATACAAATATCCAATTAATATTAAGCTGTTTATTCTTTATTCCTTTGCAGATATACACCTCCCCACAACTGGCGGCCGTGAGTGCGTTGGTGGTGCCTGCAATGGCGGGCATGGCCATCGTCTACGGACGCTATGTGAGGCGGATTACCAAAACGGAACTGGACAAGTACGCGGAGATAATGAAGTATGCGGAGGAGCGCTTCGGGAATGTGAAGACGGTGAAGACCTTCTGTCGGGAACAGCAGGAAGTGGCCGCCTTCAATGGCAAACTGGATGAAGCTCTGCAGATTGGCTACAAGGAGACGCGCGCCAGAGCTATTTTCTTTGGATTGGTAAGATGCGATGGCATTTCCTATACAGTAATCTATCAATTAAAGTAAACCCATTTTCCAGACTGGCTTCTGTGGCAACTTCATTATTATATCAGTGCTGTATTACGGCGGCACCTTGGTTTTACAAGACTCTCTGACCATTGGAGCTCTGACGGCCTTCATGCTTTACGCCGGCTATGTGGCCATCTCGATGAACGGGCTGTCCAACTTCTATAGCCAGCTTAACAAGGGCATTGGGGCCTCTGAGCGGATTTGGGAGATCCTGGACAGGGAGTGCACGATACCCATTGACAAGGGTATCGTACCGGTGAACAAGACGGTGGGCGAAGTGGGTTTCCAGAGCGTCTACTTTACGTTTCCCACTCGTCCCGATGCCGCTGTTCTTTCCGATTTTTCGCTTAATCTAATGCCGGGAAAAACCACAGCGGTGGTGGGTCGTTCCGGATCCGGAAAGACCACGATAGCTTTGCTTATGCTTCGATTATATGATCCACAAGGGGGCACTGTCCAGCTGGATGGCATTGATCTGCGTACAGTTAATCCCCAGTGGCTAAGGAATAATATTGGAGCCGTCAGTCAGGAGCCGGTGCTCTTTTCCTGCTCCATCCGAGAGAACATCCTGTATGGCGCTCGTCCCGACGAACAGCCAAGCGAGGAGCAACTGCAGCGGGTCATCCAAGAGGCGAATGTTAGCCAGTTCACCGACCAGCTGCCGGATGGCCTGGACACACTCGTCGGCCAGCGGGGAATGATGTTAAGTGGCGGGCAGAAACAACGAGTGGCCATTGCCAGGGCGCTTATTAAGGTGAAGTCCATATGACGTTGCAACCTGAGATTTTTACTTAACTCACTTTCACCCCTTGTAGAACCCGGCCATCCTGATCCTAGACGAAGCCACGAGCGCGCTGGACGCCGTTTCGGAGCAGCTGGTGCAGAATGCTTTGGACAATCTTGTCCAGGGACGCACCGTGCTGACCATTGCCCACCGACTTAGTACAATACGGAACGCGGATCAAATTGCAGTGTTGAGCGAGGGGAAGATTGTGGAGCAGGGCAGCTACAATGATCTGATGGGCATCCAGGAGGGCGTCTTTCGGGAACTGGTGGCCAGCCAGGCCTTCGCCGGCCGTGACTAAGGACCTGAAGTCGGTGACGTGGGTGCGGGAATTTAGATTAGGTGGAATAGACGACTTTAGATTAGATGTGGGCCCACCGCTGGTTGGTGGTGGCTCCGCTGGTGCAACTGTTACCGGGCTATGTGTTCATAAATCAAATAATTTTATTTCTTTGTAAAATACACCATTGACCATTGTTAAAGATAACAATTTGGTATGTCTTTTCTTCTGGATACATAAAGTTAACATAAAATGTTAACCTGCTAATTAGTAAGAATTTCATAATGCCTTAAATTGCAAACTCTTTACAGTCATTAAAATGACGAAAAATCGGTCTAAAAATAAAAATCAAGTTGAAAGCACAGATTTTTAGAGAATCAACCACAATCATTTTGAAGTGCGGGTTTTAGGTCATTTTTCTGCGAAGCCATATTCGAAAATTGGGAAAAAAAATTACAAGAAATCGGTCCGAAAATAAAATCCAATTTGAAATGGCAGATTTTTAGAGAATGCTGTCACAATTATATAGAAGTATGTCACTTTGAAATATGATGTCTGTAAGAAATGTTATGAGCTTAGAAGTGCAGTTTTTTGACACTTTTCAGCAAAGCAATTTTTCGAATATTTGGAAAAAAGACGTCATTAAAATGACGAAAAATCGACCCCAAAATACAAACCAAGTAGAAAACACAGATTTTTAGAGAGTTTAACCACAATCATTTGGAAGTATGTCACTTTGAAATCGGATGTCTGTACGAAAAGTTATGAGCTTAGAAGTTCAGTTTTTTGCACTTTTCTGCAAAGCCATTTTTGGGAAATTTTGAAAATGACGAAAAATCTACCCAAAAATAAAAACTAAACTGAAAACTTAGTTTTTTAGAGAATTAAACCACGATCGTTTAAAAGTATGTCACTTTGAAATCGGATGTATGTAAGAAAAGTTATGAGCTCAGAAGTGAAGGTTTTGGGTCACTTTTCCCCAAAGCCAGTCCTCCGAAAATATGGAAAGGGGTAACATCATTAAAATGACGAAAAATCGACCCAAAAATGCAAACCAAACTGAAAACACAGATTTTTAGAGAAATAGGCCACGATCATTTAGAAGTATGCCACTTTAAAATCGGATGTATGTAAGAAAAGTTATGAGCTCAGAAGTGAAGGTTTTGGGTCACTTTTCCCCAAAGCCATTTTTCCGAAAATTTGGAATGGGGTAACATCATTAAAATGACGAATAATCGACCCAAAAATGCAAACCAAACTGAAAACACAGATTTTTATAGAATCAGGCCACGATCATTTAGAAGTATGTCACTTTAAAATCGGATGTATGTAAGAAAAGTTATGAGCTCAGAAGTGAAGGTTTTGGGTCACTTTTCCCCAAAGCCAGTCCTCCGAAAATATGGAAAGGGGTAACATCATTAAAATGACGAAAAATCGACCCAAAAATGCAAACCACACGGAAAACACAGATTTTTAGAGAATTAGGCCACGATCATTTAGAAGTATGCCACTTTGAAATCGGATGTCTGTAAGAAAAGTTATGAGCTCAGAAGTGAAGGTTTTGGGTCACTTTTCCCCAAAGCCATTTTTCCGAAAATTTGGAATGGGGTAACATCATTAAAATGACGTATAATCGACCCAAAAATGCAAACCAAACTGAAAACACAGATTTTTATAGAATCAGGCCACGATCATTTAGAAGTATGTCACTTTAAAATCGGATGTATGTAAGAAAAGTTATGAGCTCAGAAGTGAAGGTTTTGGGTCACTTTTCCCCAAAGCCAGTCCTCCGAAAATATGGAAAGGGGTAACATCATTAAAATGACGAAAAATCGACCCAAAAATGCAAACCACACGGAAAACACAGATTTTTAGAGAATTAGG